AGATTGGCCATCTTGACTAAGGTTTTATTTGTGGTTTTCTTCAGTCCATTCCAGCAAATTATGGGATGCCATAAAATGGACCACAGATTGCTTCATACCATACCCTTCCTAATTTAACCACACTCGTCCTGTCACTGAATACTATTGCAATCAACAAAATGTTGTTAAATAAACCAATACACAAACAATTGTATACTGTCACATATGAGGGGTTTGAGTGACGAATATAACGGGTTCTGGATTTGATGATTGGATTTATTGGCATGTCTTTACAATTATAATCAACTACGACAGCTTACAATCAATAGCCGCATAGGACTCGCTCCATTCCTTATTGGACTACGAGTGTCTTCTCTTCCACTGTGACTGACTTGGTTCTGTTTTACGAATCGGTCACTTCTACAGCGACTGCTTTGAACGACGACTGTCTTACGAATGAATGTCTTCTCCGCAAGGCTCCTTATATAGTCCAGCGCGTATCTATGGAAAACGATTGTTGCTTGCGCGTATCCACGGAAATTTTTGCTTGCGCGTATCCATGGAAATTGTTTATTCCGTTGACATGGAAAGCGCGTTCCGTACCAAGTCGGTTTCCATTATACTGCATCTCTATAGAACGTGTGTTGGCGAGCCGCTGCCTAGCAATGGACTATTCCGGCTTTCGGGCGTCATGTCACAGTATCAACTGCAGAGGGTCTGGAAGAATGTGGTACTGTCACTAAAACTGTTACTGTGGAAATGGCGAGTGTGGCTGCGATGAACATGACCAGTTTTATAACTGAGATCTGCACGGTTTATTTCCTAAATATACAAATTTCCACATGCCTGGTGTGTAATGAATGTATTCAGTTTGGAGACAGATTGAGAACATCCTGGAGTGTATACTTACACTGCCTTCAAATGTGGCTCAATGTAAAGTTTGACTGCTCACAATTCACATTTACTCTCAATCAACACAAAGTTTATCATTCTGCCAAACACCAATGCCCCAACTGCTGCCATGTCAACACAAGGGTAAGTCTTATAATCTAGTTCCCTGACCTCTTTCCTCATTGCTGTAAAAACAAGCAATATAACTGTAACATTCATATAAAAGTGAAGCTTCTGTTTCTTGTATTAGTCATTTCTCTTACCAAAAGGTCTTGACAAATCTAGGTTAGAGCCACAACTTGCTTCTAAATTTCTGAAAGGATCTCACTTATTCAAATCATTCACTTATCATATCAAACCATAATAAAATTCACAATGAAATTTAGAACAGATTACATTTGGAGAATGCTTTGTACTAACTGCTTCTGAAACTACCGTATTTACGCATGTATAGGCCGCACATTTTTTGCCAAAAATTCAAGAGGAAAACTGGGGTGCGGCTTATATTCGAAATATTCGAAATCACACTTCATTTAAAAAAAATTATATTCATAATTAGTAATACAGAGTGTAATACTCCTGAAATAATATTCCAAGAAAATTATTTTTTCTATAATTTCTGTCTGAAAATTGTGCTGCGGCCTATACACGCACGCGGCCTATACATGCGTAAATACGGTATTATCTTCCTTTGTCTCGTTAAAACAAAAGAACAAGAAGTTAAACAATGATAGTACAATAGTTTCTCTCTCAACCTAAGAGAAGAACATAAACTGAGGGTGTATTCAGAACAATGTACCATGCAGAATATTTGGAATGAAGAAGGAAGAAAATTATATAATGAAGCACTACATACTGTCACGTGTATGACTGACTACAGACAGGGTTTGGATTGGTGAATATACGAGTATTTACTGACCACTTTGTGAACGTAACTACTATTAACTATAGCAATATCGCTATTTCAACACTTTACAGTTCACTAGGGCACATAATCTAGTGTTCTCTGTCTGTTACTAAAAGTTTCCTGGTAGCAGCTCCAACAACAGCTATTCCTCTGCCCCTGGCTCAAGTCTTGTCTTCACAGACTCCTGCACAAAATTAAAACTTGCTTATAACATCCCGGCACGGACCAGATAGAAAACACAGCTCTTATATTGTTGCAGCCGACTGTTACATTATTAAGAATCTGCTGCTTACCAATGGCAACGTGTTTACCGAGTCATTACCAAGCCATTGCCATGGGGATCTGTTGCACTGATCATGTGACACTCTCTATCCGCTAAAGTTGGTACTAACTTCGCCGACAAGCAGCGGTCGCTCGGTCAGTATAGTTTGCTTGCAGACTCCAGGCCACGGAGTTTTTTTTTTTAGTTATGAGAAGTGAATACATAAGGATTTAGCTGGCATTCATAGTCTAGCTGAAAGCACTGTGCCTAGAAAGACCACGAAGAATCATGAAAACCTACATCAGGACATTCAACAAAGACACGAATCAGTATCTCCAAATATAAATATAATAATGCGTCACCAACACACCTAGCTGCTTGTTCAGAACAAATCACTCTTAACCCTGTATAATACAAATCTGGTATCGAATGACCAGGAATGCTGTGTTAATCTCCTCATTTGACCTGTTATTTATTAACCTCACCAATATAAATCTGTGCATACAATAAAGTACTGATTTGTGCAAAATATGCATATGAAATGGTGTCGTAATCATTAATCTTTTCATTCTTCAAGGAAATGGCCTGAAGTAGTAAAGTCTTAACCTATCCACCTCACAAATACTGAAAAGTGAAAACCAAAACATTGTGCAAGCAAACCAGACATACATATCTAACCAAAAGTAATCATCACTAACTTAGGCATCACTGACATTAGCTGCAGCTACCCTTAAGGACTTCAGTGATGTGATGTATGGGCGATGATGGGTTGGACAGACTATTGTTAACTGCTAAGGTAGGACCAGAAGTTAATTCAGATGGTTTACTGGGGACCAACAAAATTCCTGTATAGGGGGAACCCCATGATGATTTGGATTGGTACTACTTCAAGGGTGGAGTCTGATGAGACTCAACCTGGGTAAGGCAGACAAGGGGTTCTTTCTTGAGGGTGTTTAACAGGTTGTAACTTAAGGTGAAGAGAAGTTGCTTCTTCACACTGCTCCACTCACACAAACAGGAAACACTGTATCACTTTAACCAGGAGATCTACGTACTAGCACCATTACACATATCCTATGATTGTGAGACCATAGCTTATTTAAGGTTTCATCACCTGAGCCAGTTTTTTATGGAACCAAGCAACTACTATGACGCCCCCATAAACAAAGTCCTACATTTCATTCAAAGTGTACGATTGATAAGGGTTAATCAAAAAAGGGGGAAGCACAATAGATCACTGAAGGTCACAGTGCAAGGGCCAGATTATTATGGACCACCCCTTATGCATTCTTTTATTTATTCAGTCATACCAGCACTATTAAGTTACTGCACATATCACACAAGTTCACTCATCACACGACAACGTAAGACATAAATTCATATACATTCTGTTTCCAAAGATTGTACACTTGGATTATTTATATTTTTTAAACCAAGACTTCTGTAAATTTGTTTCGTTGAATAAACTGTCATAAAGTTACAGTTAATAAGTCAGAGATTTCGAATTTATTCAGTCATACCAGCACTATTAAGTTACTGCACAAATCACAAGTTCACTCTTCACACAACAACGTAAGACATAAATTCATACACATTCTGTTTCCAAAAATGTGTACACTTGGATAACTTAAATTTTTGAAACCAAGCCTTCTGTAAATTTGCTTCATTGAATAAACTGTTGTAAAGTTACAGCTAATAAGTCACAGATTTCGAATTTATTATAGGAGTGATGTTCAGGCACAGTTGAACTCAATCACTGATATCTGCACTCTTCGTGGCCACTCAGCTCCGACAGAAGCTCTTGTCCTCAATTCCAAAAACTGTGAATGAAAGGCATCCCCTTTCAGACTCTAACTGGTTGGCCTCAAACAGCTAGGAGGACACAAAAATCTGCATTCTCAAATTACAAACAAAAGTGAGAAACTTTCAGCTTACAAGCTCTCAACTGGGTAAGTAAATTTAGGAGTGACTAGAACCAGGAAAGGCTCCTCCAAAAGTTATGGTTTCCACTCTACGTCAGAATTTAGAATTCCCAAAGGGAACCAACCACATTCCAAAGTCTCCCATTTTAAATTCTCTCATTCACTATCATGTCTTACAGCTGAATACAAGACTTGGTCTAAGTCTCTTTTGACTGGAAAAATCTTAGTAACTCCCTCATCTAAACCTAAGGCCTAAGGCTGTACTTATCTATGTAAAATTACACTGTACGAGTACACCTACAAACCCAATACAACATAGTAGATGTCATCAAAGACTAAACGTAACTTAGGAGAAAGAATTTGTGGCATAACAAACCATACCCAACAGAACCTGATAAATTAGTTTCAGCCATCAAACACAAGATTTATTACCCACAAACATTATCAGCTTCAATAACATTTGTACACCTAACAGACATACACTACTGAATTGCACAGATTCATTTCAATCATCGCACTCCACCCAGCTCTGTAATTTTGAAACCTCAACAAATGTATATCTTTTCTTTCATGTATAGAACTTCAATAGTATTTATATGAAATATTTTTGCTAAACTAAACTACAACAGTCTGACATTGAGGTAACACTATGACTTACATTTAATTTCTTTTGCTTTTATAAAAGTTTCACAGTTGTTTCAATTTAATTTCTTTTGCTTTTATAAACGTTTCAAACACAGTTGTTTCAACAAATCTTAATGTAACTCAACCTGTCAGACTCAACGAAAAGTATTTTAAAAGGTGCATTTAAGAAGACACTATCCTGTACTCAAAGTTCACAAAACGATTGCTTTTCAGTATGAATACTGGTGCTACAAATTCAGTAACAACATCCAAGAAATATAGCTATATTTTCTGACATTCAAAAGTGTGTCATTCACTGAAGAAAGTCCAACAAAACCAGCAACAATGCCTGAAAGACGATCGAAAGAAAATAATTAGTCTTACATTGGGTGCGGTTACAATTTCGATTTCTTACCTTATCCGTTGGTATATTTCTGGAACTCATGGCTGTCAAAGCGATAATATTTACACTATAAGCGTATAAGTGGATGGTTAATTATCCAGGAAGATTCTTTTTGTAGCACCAAGCAGATGGTGACAGCAGACGCAACTGAGCAACCTTCATCACTATACACTAGAACTTAATGTTACGCCATTACCACGTACAGTTGAGCGATACATCGCAACTTGAAACTTATCATGTTACCTATCCATAATGTTTAGGTGAATAAAAGCATCATTTTCATAAAGATAAGAAAACTTTCACATCAACTTTATACACAAACACAACCACTGACAACTATCAGGCAAAATGGCGAGACTTTCAGTCTCGTATTATTCCCGAGTTGCAACTTGGGTAATGTACTTGTGCCTTCTAAACTCGTACTTTCGTTTTTCAAATATGCATGTCCAATATGAGAACACAAAGTAGAATGCGCCATAGGATTATTTTGATTAGAGTTGCTAGCGGATATAATTTCTTCAATTTTCAGATATTTTTTAAGGATCACCCTCAGTAACACCAGTTCTCTTCGAAAGATTTGAGAGTTAAAAGAGTAAGGAAGAAAGTGAATGAAATGAGTAGGAAGGACTGTGGATATAAGTGTCAAATGTGTTAAGAGAAGGCTAGTATGTCAGTGTGTTAATTTCATCTCGAGTGTTGTCGAGCGCTGTACGACTTAACGCAGGGCGCCAAAAATATGTCAGAAGAGACAGACACCGAGAAGAAATTATCGTGTGTTAAACAAACGGCAGTTGACACACTGAATGTAAGGAAACACAATATAATGACATCGCGTATGAGAGGGCAAGCTTTATGTCATAACCTCTACAAGCGTGTTTTTGTATTGCTGCAATCTGTGAACGTAATTTAACTGTCAATTTACCAAGTTCATTCGCGTCAGAACTCTCTTGAGATTGTGTAGGAATGAATTTTGTGTAGCAGATCATACAGTGTCATTAAATTCTGCTAGACAATGGTATTGAACATAATACTGACGGAGGCACTATGCTACAAGCCAGAATGTTGCGGGTTCGAGTCCCAATGAGGTTAATTTTCAGTTGACCCAATCCTTCCAGCCGCACTATTGCCCTGGAGTCGAGTCAGCTCCTAAAAGAAATAAGAACCAGGAATCTTACTGGGGGGGTAAAGGCCGGCCAACGTGTAAGGCTGACAACCTTACCGCTGTCTGTGAGCCGATTGTCTCTCAACCGTATGTGCCTTCACTGCCTGTTACAA